GGAAAGAAAAGCCTGGTCCCCAAAATAAAAGGGCCATTCATTGAAGAGAGCAATGTTACTCTTTATTGACACTTAGAAGCAATATCCCTGTTATTAGGAATAATGTAGTTATACCTCATTCTTTTTATGTGTTATAATCATTAAGTATATCTGAATACAAATATAAAAAATACACATACTGCATGGTGACTAAGTAATTTTGGAATAAGTCCACAGACTAAGTCCCAGTATTCATAAATAGTTTATATCTTAACTGCTCATTTATCCCCGAACAAGTTTTCATTAAGCAGACTAATAATTTTCAAATGATGTAATAGAAAAATCTGGATGTAGTATTTTATTATTTTGCCGAATTACATTTGGGGGGAAAGAAGCTAGCTGCTTCACCTATGCTAATGCTAGTATATTCTGGATCATGTTAACACAAATTCATGTATTGAAACCTTCAAGATCATAAATTTTCCACAGGAGATATTATTTAGACTGTGTCATTGGTGTGTAATTGCAAAAGATTTTAAAATTGCAAACATTATAACTTTCAAGATCCGGCACAGGAAGAGGTTTATACTCGACTACAACGATGCTGGTGTGTACTTCTACACAAAGGCGCCTTAGTGATGTCAATCAACTGGAGGTAGGATTTTATCGATGAATTGCCTGATATCCACCATTTCCTGTTTGGAATAAAGTGATTTAATAAGCAGTTACACAAATCAGAAATTAAATCCCCAGTGAACTACCACTAACTAAATCCGTGGTGTGTGTACCTAAGGTGAAACAACATTTTTACTACTACAATGAAATAAAAAGTTGTAACAGAGAAAGGAGGCTCCAATAGAAATTTCAGATCATTTTCTGTGATTATTATTGTACATTCAATATGGCTCACATCTAGTATCTACTCCCATGAAAATGGACTGCACTTTGCTATACTTGAACAAATAAAACATGGGGGTGTGGAGGGATGAAGGGGGCTTAGAAGTGACAATAATGAGAAGTATTAAGAAGTATACAATGACTGCCAACTACATATACGTGGAAAGCCTAGCTTTTAACGTTTTCTCATGAGAATGAAATGCTAAATCCACAGCTTAAAATATTTTTGGCCTTGCATCAGGGTTTTGATATAATCAACCATTAAAAAGATAGCAAGCACCTAAGATAAGCCTGGAAAGATATGAAAATTAATATAACCAAATATTTATGACAGCAAAACCTTTCCTAAAAGACCCCTGCATCTGTCTCACAGTTGTCTCACTTCCCCCAAACACATTTCATTTTCTCCAACCAACTCTAGTATTTCAAGGCTTAGCCCCCACAAGTCAGCAATGTAGAGAGCCTTCAACCTGATACTTTACTCAGAAAAAAAGCCACAGCACAAGAGTGATCTATTTTACAACACTCAAGTCTTTTAAAAGTTTCCTGTGACACCATCTTCTACTTTTCTACCTCTTCTCACTTTCTGCTCCTAATTATTCATCCAGTGTCCTCCAATGTGATGGCATAAAATATCATTTAAGGAGCTTTTATTTTAAAAAAAAAAATCTCTATACAAACACAGATGCCTGAGTTCAACCCCAAACCCCCAATGTGCTGAATCAGAATCACTGCATTTGGAGTTTGGGGGTCTGTCTGTTTATTAAGCTCTGGGGTCCTTGTGATACAAAGTGGTTGGAAAACCACTGCTCTAGACCCTCAGTCCCTTCTGGATGCTCAGAGTGCCACCTCCCTTTCTGGATTCAATACTTCACAACAGTTCCCTTTTTTAAATTTTTTATTGATTCTATAAAAGCAAAAGGTTATTTTAAAACTACTTCTAGAAAATTGTGGGTATGACATCTGTTTGGTAACTCTACAGAAAGTCTGTAAACCCGCAAGTACAAAAGCAAGGAACCACTATGACAGTTTCAACTATGTCCTTAATAACACCCTAGCATCTCAGGCCCCTTGTCTTTCTGGATAAATCATATTACTACCTGCTGTCTCTGCCCTAAAGCAAATGATTTAGCCAGGTTGAGCAGTTAGTTGCAAAACCATGGTAACATAAACTGCCTCAATGTTTAGCCACCAATTTTTAGTGTAGGCTTCCCTAAGCCTCTAAATCTATCCAGGCCTCCTTCATTCTTTTTTTTTTTTTTAAATATATTTTACTGATTTTTTACAGAGAGGAAGGGAGAGAGATAGAGAGCCAGAAACATCGATGAGGGAGAAACATCGATCAGCTGCCTCCTGCACATCTCCCACTGGGGATGTGCCCACAACCCAGGTACATGCCCCTGACCGGAATCGAACCCGGGACTCCCCAGTCCGCAGGCCAACGCTCTATCCACTGAGCCAAACCGGTTTCAGCTAGGCCTCCTTCATTCTTATTAGTAACCACATCTCCCCTACTTTACTGAAAAGACTGCGAGGATCTAATGTGAGCTTGTAACTACTTTCTACCATACTTCAACAATCCATTCATGTTCATCCATCCTCTTCTATCTTGATTCCAAAGTGTTTTTCTCCTCTTTTAAGGCAACCACTACCCATTTCAGGACTTAATTATAAATTATATCATCCCTCTAAGACTTCCCACTATCAGTTATCTTCTCTTTATGGCATCTTCTCCCTCTTTCCTCCTAACCTATCAGAGTCTCTTTCTTCCATCCTGTTAAATAAACTTCCTACTCTTTTCCCAAAACCTTTTTTTAAAAAGGTTTATACGTGTTGCCTCTACTTCCTCATTTCCCTACTTCACATAATCTATTGCAGTTTGGCTCTCTCTCCCCAAACATCTGAGGTGCCTTCTTACTGGATCGTTTCTTCCTGGCCTATTTCTCCTTAATCAGTCTCTGAATCATCAGTTATTGTTCCCACCCACTCAGAAATTCTCTCTTCCTGTACTCTCACTCAATACTTAACTCCTTTGAACTCCCCCAAAGTTCTATCCCTTGGATTTTTTTCTCATGATATCCCCCCATGGTGATTCTTCACTGATCAATAATATTGATAATTATTCTAAACCTCCATTAAAGGCTTGAGCTTCAGACAAGTATTTCCAATATCCCATCCTGATATACTGTAACGGGAGCACACCAATTCCCTTATGGTCATTAAACTCAGTAAGTATATGGCCTTCCTGTTACCCTAAAACTGTTCCTTGTACTACATACTTTATGAGTGGCATCATCTTAATCATCTGAGCTAGAAATATAAGGCCTCATTGATACTTTCCTACTCCATAGAATTAATCACTAAATCCTAATGGATTCTGCTTCACTTGTTTCCAGAATATACATTACATCTTGCTTTGATTTAAAAAAAAAAAAAAGTCAATGGCTTTCTGCTGTTTAGAGAACAAATCCATTCTCAACACAACATAAAAGCTCTGTACAATCAAGTCTTTCCTCTCTGTCTCTATTCTATGACACCTAGCTTTTCTTAAGACTACAGCCTAATGGGACAGCTTGCTTCTCCTGTCCTACAGTCCTTTCTCTGCATACTCACTATCTAAATCCTACCCTGTGTTCAAAATCTAGCTCTTTCATCATGATCCAGTGTCTCCTAAGATAAAATTAATCTCACTCTCCTCAGTTTTTCAAGTAACTTTTTAAAACTTCCAATAGAAAACATATCACATCTATTTTCTATACAGTTACTTGGATATATACCCTTCTCCCCATATCCTTCTCCCCTATTAAATTTTTAATGTTAATAAATCCTGTCTAAATTTTAATGAAAGGAAATGGGTTTTTTTGGTCTTAGAATTATGTACAATGCTTGCATGTAATAGGAAATCAGTGAATGTTTGTTGAATTAAATTGAAGAAGCTTTAATCTAAGTCCTGCTAACCTGTGACTCAGAGTGAATTCATTAACTCCTTTAAAGCCCCAAATGGTCAAATATTATTTATCTTGAAATATCACATTTTGGAAAAAGAAGCAAATTACGTCTCTATAATCACTGTTTCCAAATATTTACCTGTGGACATGAACTATGCATCATGCCTTCATAGACTTTGAAGGTTACATTGGCTGGATTTACCAATGTTTTTAGCTTTTCAGCAGTAAGAGAACCGAACATTAGAGGAACTAAAGGATCAGAATCTCCATGGCACTGAAGAATAGAAATATCTCTATTAACACCACTGATAGGACCCTGCAAAAACAACAAAACAAAATAAAACTAGTATTATTTATTCAAATATATAGAACATTAAGCCAGGCATTTAAAACTGTAGATATGTGCATATAACATGTTATTCCTTATTTTATAGGTTGTATTTGACCACAGAAATAAAATTCCTGCCATCCTTATAACCTCCACATATTTTTATTTAAACTGTTATAGGACATATGGATTACCCTGTCATATATTTTGTTTTCCCCATAAATTGGTTCCTTGAAGCAGATTCTATTCTTTATCTGTTCACACTGTCCTGACATCAGAGGTATGTTTTAGCTGACCCATGTTGCTCTCAGTTCTTATTTAATTGACTTAAGTAAGATGGTTAAGCCCTGGCCAGGTAGCTCAGTTGGTTAGAGCATCATCCCAATATGCCAAGATGGCCAAACGGATCCCAGGTCAGAGCACACACAAGAATCAACCAATGAACGCATAAGTAAGTAGAACAACAAATCAATGTTTCTCTCTCTCTTTCTCTCTCTCCCTTCCAATAAATAAATAAAATAAACAAACAAAGTTAATAAATAGCACTTACTATGTAACCAAAGAGATACTAGAGAATGACAAGAAAAAACCCTAGATTTAAAGACAAATTTGAAAATAAAGTCTACACCTCTCATGTATACTATATACTGCTCTACCTTGTTGGGTATTTAGAAATTATATTTTATTTTGCAAAATCTGCTATCAGTGAGCATACTGAACATTCAAAAATATTTCCATATATAAAAAATAGCCCTAATTTTTATGTATCTTAAAATGTATCAACCTCTTTAAATATAAGATTTATGACAATAGGACTTCTTTCTTATTCCATTCTATGTAACCCACAATGAAGACAATGTAGTGAATTCATAAAGCCTAGTAATACATCACAAAAGTCTAAGAAAATTCTGCCTGGCCAGCATGGCTCAGTGGTTGAACATTGACCTATGAACCAGGAGGTCACAGTTTGATTCCCAGTCAGGGCACATGCCCAGGTTGCAGCTCAATCCCCAGTAGGGGGCGAGCAGGAGGCAGTCGATCAAAGATTCTCCCTCATCATTGATGTTTCCATCTCTCTCCCTCTCCCTTCCTCTCTGAAATCAATAAAAAATATATATTATTAAAAGTTTTACAAAATTCTTTTTTAAAAAGTATGATAATATAAACTCTGGGTTTTGAGTGATGATGTATCAATGTAGGTTCATTGATTATAATCAATGTGTCACTGTGCTGCAGAATGTCAACAGTGGGGGGACGGGGGGAGGTTGTGCATGTATAGAGACAGTGGGTATGTGGGAACTTTCTGTACTTTCCACTCCATTTTGCTGTGAACCTAACACTGCTCTAAAAAAATAAAGTTGATTAAAAAAAATGACCCTCTCCCCAACGCTATCTGCTGTCTCTTAGCTCAGTAATGTAATGTGGCATGAAGTAATCAGACTACCTGTGGAAATGAAGACCGAAGTGGAAGCCAGCAACTGAGCGCAGTGACACCTGCCAGTTTCTGCTGTGTGGTCAGAGCAGTGTATAAAGATAAAGCTCCTCCCTAGAAAGACAAGCAGGGAGAGTCAATGGAACAACACATTCTTTGTTAACAGCAACTTAAGAAGTTTCCTATTAATAATGTCGATCAAAAAATCAAACTGGGTGGCGATGTCAAATCAAATCAGGCAAACAAGTAGAAATACATGCACACCCCACTGTGTTCTAAAGCACATGATTCTCTACACTGAAGACCACTGTGAGAACTGAGCAACCACCCAGTCAGTCAAGACACAGTTAATCCAAGTTAACTGCTGCACTTACAACTGCCTTAGAAGCATTATAGATTCACAGTTACTATTTTCTCCTCTGAAAAGTCTTCGTATAAAATCAAATCTCATCCTAAACTGGTATTATTTTCCAAAATAGTAATTCAAGATAATGAAAACTCTGTAGCAGACACCTTTAGAGTATCAGCCTACCCAGCTCACACCACCCTGCATCCTGGGAACTGCATTCCCATCAGTCATCTAGATGCCATGTCACTCTGGCCACGCCCACGAGTCACTAGGCCACATGAAAACGTGAGATCCTTTCTCATCTGAGGTATTTATGTTCCTTCTCCCAAGATTCTGAAATTGGGACTCAGTGACTGTCAGTCTGTTTCTTTGTGTGGCTGGAATTGAAATATGCAAACTCAAAAACTCCACAGTAATTGCAGGAGCATCTGCAGGGCTCAACCAATGGGAATCTGTGACAAAAGAGGGAAGAAATTCTCTTGTCTTCTACCTTACTGTTCCTATCAGTAGTCTCTCCTCCTAGACATGGGCTTTATACCTCTATTTAGAGTTCTGTTTAAAGAGCTATAGAGTGTTAACATTTCACATTCCAATCAATTTACTTAATAAATCTATTTTCAAGACATCCTCTATACCAGCGGTTGCCAACTTTTCAGACCTCACAGACCACCAGTGGTCCACAGACTGCTGCATACGTAAAGCTACTGCTGAAAAGAGAAAACTAGAAAAGCAAAAGAGTATAAGTATTCTCCCAATTAATAGTTATTTCTAATCCATTCAAACTTAATCCAGCATTAAAGGTAAGTAGTATATCCGTTTCTATAAGATCTTCTAAAAAGAGGAGATCTTATAGAAAAGGATTGAAGCCACTGACTTCTAGATAAATATACTGATGGTACTGACATACCACCCAAACTTATCTTACCTGAGAAAATCCTCCCAAAATAATTCTGTCTGAAGGAATGCCATTCTTCACCTCTTGATCTATCAAAGTTTTTACTAAAAACAACATGAAAGTGATATTATTAATACTTTCAAAGTTAAGGTCATTGATACAATTTAAATAGAAAAAATATTTAATGACAGTAAAATACAAAGTATATTAAAGGTCAAAACAAGTGAAAAACTTGAAGCATTCTATTAAAATAGAAAATTAGAATGCATTTTCATGATAAAACTCAGATTTTTGCATGTGGTGCTTACACTTCAATTGTTTCTTATTACATAATTTGTAAAACAGTTATTTCATCAGTATATGAATATTCTTTTATGCATGGCCAATTCTGCTCATATACATTTTATACTTCTCTCTTCAAGGGACCATAGGCATTTGTACCTAAAAGTTATAATTTAAAATTTTAAGTAATTAAGCAGATTGCATGGTTTGTGATTTACAGTGTTTAAACAGTTCATTCTATTATTTTTTTTAAAAGCACAGTATTATATTTTCCTATAGCCAGTAAAAGAAACAAATGAGTTATTTTCTTTCTGCAACATACATTTGTCTTGGCACACATCATTAAATATATGACTTGATACCTCCTCAAATGTCCATTTCTTTATAATCAGTCCTGAATTTTGGGAATAACTGCACCTTTAACAAATTTATTTTCTTTCATTTTTTTACAAATATTTAAGACTTTAATTTTTTAAGACTAAAATTTCCACCTTTACATTTCCTTTTTATTTAAAAAACACACAAAAATATGCTTTTATTACATCACTGCAAAAACCCAAATGCCCAAATTAAAAATTATTTTGTTTTTGTATATATTTTAGTTCTTCATTACAATTAGTATGAAAAGCTAGAGGTACCTTGACTAGGGCCTGGGAGAATGGGCTTGAGAACAATTAAGAAGATTTAAGGAATGAAAGAACTGTGAAGAAGTCTGAGGGATTTATTTAGGGAAGACTGCACAGCCTCTGACAGATGCACAAGTGGCAGAAACAGCCCATGTGTGAGGCGGGAAGGCTGTGGTTGGGGCTTGGTGAATGTTAGCTGCTAGCTAGTCAGGTGCTGTTGGGAGTACTTTCCCTCAGTTTCGCAAAGCTTTACATGCCATGGGTACACCAGCTGCTGAGATAAAGTTAACAAACTCCAATGGCAGCCGTCGGTTGTGGAGTAGTGGGTTCTAATTTCTGCAGCAGGGCCAGGAACCATTGTGCTCCCTGAACCTAACCTGAGCACTCTTCTTTATTCTGTAGCACAGTCTCTCAGCCCTCAACTAAAGACTCCTTTCTTTTCTAGCTCTGAGCCTGAGCCTAATGCTCTCCAATGTTACATTACCTCGGAGAGAAAAGAAATCACAAGTATGTGCTAGGCCAATCCTATCACGAGGACAGAACGTTTTCCCCCTCTGGACTCACCAGACCCACCTGTTTTCACAAAGCCCAGCTCCCATCTTCCACAGGGTCTCACAACTCATTCCCATACCCAACACATGTTTTTGTCATCTATTATTTTTTGACAAATACCTAGCTATAGGATTATAGCTTTTATCTTTTTTTCTTTCTTTTTAAATCCTTACCGCAGGATATTCTTTCCATTGATCTTTATTTTTTTAAAATATATTTTTATTGATTTCAGAGAGGAAGGAAGAGGGAGAGATAGAAACAACAATGATGAGAGAGAATCATTGATCGGCTGCCTCCTGCACGCCCCACACTGGGGATCGAGCCCACAATCCAGGCATGTTCCCTGACAGAGAATCAACTGTGACCTCCTGGTTCATGGGTTGATGCTCAACCACTGAGCCACACTAGCTGGGCAGTCTGTGTTCTTTATGCTTTCACAAAAAAATAAGCAAAATTAACACATTCAGAAGGCAGCATGGAATACTAACCAGAGAACAGACTTTGGGGATTCTATAAAGTAGAGCTAACGCTTATTTTATAGGAGTGTTAAATGAAATGATTTATAAGAATTACCTAACTTTTTTAATATTATCACATTAAAATTAACCAGTATATAATTTTCATTATATATACGATTACATCATTATATCGTTATTTTCATCCTTATTTCAAGTCTCCTTAATGAAGATAACTGGCCACAGCTAATAAACCTTTTGTTATTTTCTCCATTTGATATGTAAACCAAAGCAAAATTAATTATCCAATACTTAAAGTTGAGTAACTGCCATTCCTCCCTGTCCGCCTCACCTTCACTTAGCAGTTAAGTGAGTCCATGTGGCCATCATGGCAAACAAGTTAGAGAATGATCAAAAAGAAAGGAAACAGCACCACCTCCCAGTTCACATAATTGTGTAATATTTCATCAACATCAATAAAACTGTTCAGTCTACAAAAAATATAAGAATGCATTTGTTTAGAAAACTACTCTGTACTTACCATATTCTGCTGCATGTTTAATTCCAGGTTCATCCTCTTGTGAATCTGGTGAAAGCCCAATAATATCAAACCTGGAAAATAAGGCAAAATCTTAAAAGAATATCTACTCATGGTAGGTATGTTTTACTAAACTCGTGGTAGTTGGGATAAAAAGGGCTGGCAAACATATTCTCTAGAACATGAAACTCAATTAAAATGTCTTCAGAGGTGAAACAATTAAATGCATGACTGACATTCTATGTTCCTTTCATCCCAACTAGATATAGATTCTAATGTTAAGTCACAGTGCTACATAATTTTAGAATAAGAATATCTAAGAGATAATCTAGTCCAATCTTGCACCCAGGCAGGAATCTCAACCCATACTCCTAAGAAGTTTGCAATAAATTTCAGCCACTCATTTCCTCTTCTATTGTATAAGTCAACCCCATGGAATAGAGCTACTTAATTATGTCGCTCTTGCATGCACTACTCATACCTTTTTTTAAATATATTTTTATTGATTTTTTACAGAGAGGAAGGGAGAGAGATAGAGAGCTAGAAACATCAATGAGAGAGAAACATCGATCAGCTGCCTCCCGCACATCTCCCACTGGGGATGTGCCCGCAACCCAGGCACATGCCCTTGATCGGAATCGAACCCGGGACCCTCCAGTCCGCAGGCCGACACTCTATCCACTGAGCCAAACCGGTTTCGGCTACTCATACCTTTTGAACATAGTTATTTATACTGATCTTTATCCATACTCTGCAAAACTTTTTCATTACGTATTATAGACACTTCAAACCAGAGACCAAGAGAAGCTTTCCTTTGGCCCTTTCTACTTCTCTATCAGAGTATGTGCTTTTATTATGGTCTCTAGAGACATTAGGTAGAAATTCTGGCTCTGGACAGGAATTTTGCCAGAGAGAAATTTAAAAAACCAATGACCAAGGAAGGCAGGAACCTGTAAAAATCGCCAAGGAATCTAAAGTTCATAAAAAAAAAAAAAAGGAAGAGCAGGGATAGGTTAGAGATGGGTGGGAACAAGCAGAGGGGAGGACAGCAGACTGGAAGTCCTGATGAGATCTAAGAAAAAATGGTGTGGAAACAGGGAAGCAAACTCAAGAGATGAGTAATTATTCTTAATGTCAGGTTTGAATTAAGTGACTTCAGAGATGCCACAGTTCCAGGTGACAAAGCCCAAGGATGACTGTGGATGACCAACGGTGAGAGAAGAAAATGTTACTGTAGAAGAGAAGAGCCAAGGAAGTAAGTAACAAGCCAGTCAAGGTTGTGAATGAGTCATTTACATTGGATCCTGTAGAAACTCAAAAGATAAAATGGTGGCATGGACCAGAGTGGAAAGGAAAATACTAATCGGGTGTCAAAGTCATCATTTTTTAAAAGACCCGTGGCAGGAGTCTCAGTGAACTGCAGGAAACAAAATCAAAGTTTAGAAGTGGTTCAGAGGAATGAAGAACTGACTCTACCTACTATGGGGAATAGCAAAAATATCTTAAGAGGTCCCAAGAGGAAATGGTTTCCTAAAAAAATTCATCAATCTTCCCAAAAAGGGAAGGCACAGAAGTTTAAAGAAGCCGTTGCTTAACCAGAGTAATTGCTACCTGGGGTCATTCAATGTTTGGTTACTAAAATCAACAGTTTGGTTACTGTTTATCAAGCAGTATTTCTATTCACCCAATTCTCTCCTGTTTCTCTACCTATTGGTGCAGTCTCTGAAGTTTACCCCTGAATCTAAAATATAAAAACTTAATTAAATAAAGGTTGAATTTAAAGTGAATTAATTATATAACTTTGCCACTTAAATTAGCTAATTAAACATTGCTATACACAAAAGCACCTCTGATCAAGAAAACGAAATATAAATAAGAAGTTCTTATTGAATAAGTAAGTTCTCACTTACCAAGAAGTCATGGCCATGTTCATATTTAATGTCACAGGCATTACTGGTCTACATGGAAAGAAAAAAAATAGCAAAATCAGAGCAACTTAACAAAGCATAAAACCTTGTAAAATTCCATCATTCAAAGATAATTACTTGAGGCTTATGTAAAACTGCTACGATTTTAACGCCTGAGGTGTTTCACTGCGTCCCCACCTGTATGTACAGTTCAGTTTTGCATACTCTTCGTGCGTGTTCTGAAAACAGAGCAGCAGCTGGAAAGATCTAAGTTTGACAAATAAAAAAACGTTTTCCTTTCTCAACACCCTCACTTAGTACTTTCAAACCAAACATGAGAAGGAAAACCAGTAACCAGGACAGTTGGAAATGAATATAATATGAAACTCTGGCCAAGGGGCTAAAAATATGATCTACAGACTTGCCCCACCGGTGTGGCTCAGTGGTTGAGCGTCGACCCATTAACCAGGAGGTCACCGTTCCAGTCAGGGCACATGCCCAGATTATGGATTTGATCAACTTTGCAACCTAAGTATGTGCCCTGACCAGGAATTAAAAACGCAACCTTTTTGGTGTACGGGACAATGCTCTATCCAAGCCACCCCAGCCAGGCATTAATTTTTATTTTTTTTATTATTTTTAAATTTTATTTTTTAATTACAGTTTATATTCAATATTACTTTGTATTAAGTTCAGGTGTATTCTAATCGTTATTTTTAAACTGAATATTTAAAAGATAAAAATTAATTATATTCAAATGCTTTTCTAGAAAAGTAAAGCTATTATAATTATTCATCTCCAGATTCTGAATCACAAGCCTAAAGATTAAAAATACTTACGCATGCGGGCAGATATATTTGATATGTGATCTTCTGATACGTGCAAAGGCTTCTTCCCATCCATGCCTGGTAGAGAAATTATTTTAACAATGCCATTAGATACTGTTTTTGTTAGTGGCCAATAAACTAGTATCAGAATAGTATTATTAAGTTTGTGAAAATAAATGTTAACCCCTTAAAATACCTTAAAAGTGTGGGCCATCGATGCTATTAAAATACCAGCACCAACCTAGAAACAGCCCAAAGACTATTGTGTCAACTTTATCTATGGATAAAGGTAATTTCTTGTGATGTCTGAAAAGAATTGTTTTCCTTCATGTATTTCCACAGGTCTTTAGAATTTACAAAATATATCTTATCTCTTTATAACTTTATAATGTGCCTAACAAATTAGGCAAGACATAATTCACATTTTACATTTTTAAAAAACCTCATAGGAGTTAAGTAAATCAGCTGTCTGGTATCTCTTTATGGTTACTACACTATTAAAAATAAACTTAATTAGCTTTGCAAATAGTATACTTGCATTTTAATGTACAAAAGAAGCAATATTATGCAGCAATGATAAATACCTGGTTTATGAGCTGCCACTACCAGATTCGGGGCCCAGACCAGAAATTTACCACACTCTGTGCCATTCGGGAACCTTTCAACATGGTACTCCAAGCATCTAAAATACAAAACCTATCTCTACCCCTGCAAAAGATAACAGTATAGCACATTATAACATGTGCCATCCATGCTCATTGCCAATACTAATTTTATGTATGCTGTTCCTATTTCTTTTTTGTTTTTGTTTATTGTTTTCTATTTTAGGCTTAGTGCCAATAACTGGGGAAAACTAAATAAGCCCTAAACATCATTTTATTAGTTTAGTTCATTACAGCTTTGAAAACGTGTAGTCACTAAAAATAACACTTATAAAACACAATTTCCCACCTGTTAAAGTCCAAACTGGAATAGTTTCAATTATGTACCTCAAAGCATTACTCCATATAATAAAAGCTGACTTAACGAGGCTGACATCCTCACACATTTATATTTTATAAAGTAAAGCCACTTTAAAAGTTTATTAAGATATAAAGATAAGTTAATGGTGACTACAGAAACAGAATAAAATAAAATTTTAAATTTTGTATGTTAATTTTAGAATTGTTCTTAAAATAGTAAAACCTCAGCTATGTTTTCCACACCAAAGAGTTCTTAAGGATGACTTTTTAAATACTCATGCCATTACATAGCTCTCATATGTATATACACATACATTTGGCTAAAAATAAAAAAGCTAGAGTCCAGTGTAGTAAAGTACAACAGATTTAAGATATAGATTCTACAGTTCAAAGGTCTTCAGTTTATTCACTAACTAGAAGCCCAGTGCACAAAATTTCTGCCTGGTAGGGTCCCTAGGGGCTGCTGGCCAGGGCCTCCCTTCATTCCGCACCACCCCCTGGTGGTCAGCTCACATCATTGTGAGCGATCAAACTCCCGGTCAGTTGAACTCCCGGGGACACACTTTGCATATTAGGCTTTTATATATATACTAGAGGCCAGGTGCACAAAAATTTGTGCACTCGGGGGGGGAGAGAGGGGTCCCTCACTGGCCTGTGCCCTCTCGCAGTCTGGGACCCCTCAGGAGATAACCAACTGCTGGCTTAGGCACGCTCCCAGGTGGCAGAGGGCAGGCCCAATCCCTGTGTGCAGCCCCTGGTTGGGCTCAGAGCAGGGCCCATTGGGGAGTTGGGGCGCCGCCCCCTGTCATGCACAGAGCAGGGCAGCTTGGGAGGTTGTGATGCCACCCTCAGTCACGCTCCGGATAGGGCCGATTGGGGGGATGGGGCACCGTCCCCTGTCACTCACAGAGCGGGGCCCATCAGGGGGGTTGGGGCTCTGTACCCTGTCAC